ATCGCGCGCACTATGCCCATGCACGCGCGACGGACGATTTCGTTGTCGCGATCTCGTCGCTTAAACCACCGATTTCCTCAGCGATAAAATCGCGGCGACAAAATCGTGGACACTGCCCATTGCCTTAGGCGATTTCAGTCGCGACGCGATTCAGCAATATTCCAACTTGTCCATAACTCATTGTAAGCATCTTAAGTGTAAAGAAGATAGGGCAAATTTATTAATCTAAGTTATACACACTATGCACGTGCAGTTTGGTAGTGTTGGACCTAAAGACTTCTGGCGAGTAGCCAAATCGCGTCGCGACTGAAATCGCGTGAAGTATGCCCGGCCCTTAAAGGCCGCGTACACCCATAATTTCGCTTTCGATGTTTTTGTCATTCTGGGGCCTTTCCGTGCCCCTGATTGCAGTTATGACATCAAAATCCTTCAAAAGTCCCAAAAAAATCCCGATTTCCGGGGACCCTCTCTTTAGAAAGCGGACGAGTTCCGAACTGCTCGTCCCCATCAGCATGCTAGCAGCTGCAACAGCATGACAGCGTATGCTGTCGTGGTTCGTCGTCCGAAGGAGGCGGACTGCAAAAAGCAACTACACTGCTGCAACCATAGGTGCGATGGGGTGAACAAAAGTTCACCCCCCTTTCACTTTTGGAGGTCGGACCACCCCCCCCCCCTCCTTCACCTAACGGACGAAAAAATTTTTCCAAGGTGAAGATTTACTGCACAATTACAAAAATATCAATGGAAAAATGCATTTTTAGAAAGATCGAACGCAGAATCTTATAAAAATGATTTTAACCAACAATAACATATGCAGCGGACAATGACAGATATTTAGAGGCTTGAAAGGCGGTGATGGATAGATTTAAATGGAAAATATTGATGTGAATGATGTTTATAAGAGACCTTGCATTGATCATGTTTTATTTTTTTGCAAATAAAATTTTATGTCGATATTTAAGCAGTACAATAAAGAATGGTGTTCATTTGTGTTCGCTTGAAGTAGAAAGATATAGAGTCCAGAACAATGATAAAATTAGTACAAATGATGTCAGGAGAAATTTTTAGGGCAGTACAGTTGCAGTCACAATGTTGGCCATATTTGAGAAAAGTCAGTTTTGAGGCAGTATAACTTGAGTAAGTTGCAGAATTTCATCTTGCGAGAGTATAGGCGTTAATAAGGAACCTTTCCTCTATCACATAGAAAAAAAAGTAGATCCTAAGAAGTATTCCTCTTAGAGTTATAAAGTCGCAAATAGAGCAAAAATCATGCCTCCAAAAATCGATTTTTTGCAAATAACTTGTTTGTATGTGAATGAAATTGAATGGGAAGGGTATAGGTAGATTGTACTCATCAAGAGCTCTCGAATGATATATAGCATGTTGGGGTTTACTGCTTCCGGGTCGCGGGAAGGGGGGGTGATCGGTCTCAGTTCAGGGCGATCACCCCCCGCTACCTTAAAGGCACCGTCCACCCAAATTGGGGTTGATGAGATTATGATACCTAGCAGATGCGGGGCCCCCAATTGTATGATTGCACAACTCGTGCTGCCTGAAGTTGCTTCCGAACCGAGAAAATTGTTTCGGAAATCGCTTCAGGCCGCGTTCGCGACGCTGGCTCCTCCCCTTTCGGAGTGGGCGTGACGTTCGTCCCGCCCATCCGTGCGCGTCCAACCAATCACCGTACCGAAGAAATCGCTCTGCGGGTTCTTAAAACGGAGTTTTTCGTGGTTTTCACGGATTTTCGACTTGATATTCGGAATCAGGGGTCTGAGAAGGCCCTGGAACGGCAAAAACATGGAGGTCGAAATTTTGGGTGGACGGTGCCTTTAATTAATGCATTGGAGAGGCGCCGCCAGGTGATCGCCCTGAACTAAGACCGATCACCCCCCCTTCCCGCGACCCGGAAGCAGTAAACCCCCACATGTTATATATCATTCGAAAGCTCTTGACGAGACGAATCTTCCTACACTATTCACGTTTTGATTTAATTACTTATATAAGAGTTATATTAAAAAAATCGATTTTTGATGGGTTTTTTGCAGCTTCATATCTCGGCGACGGGGGCATTTCGTGCTTCAGTTTTTTTGCGTCTTACAGAGGGAGGTTTACTGAGTCTTACCTATACCCTCGCAGAAAGATCGGATATACTGAAGGAGAGTTACAGCAAGGAATAAAAGGCGCTTGAAAAACACAGGTAAATTTGGAATTTAAGTCAGTCGTTCCCGTGGAATCTCTTTGCGAGGGTATAGGTAATACTAAATGGACCTCCCTCTTGAAGATGCAAAAAAACTAAATCATGAAATGCCCCCACCCTGGAGATATGGGACTCTGACGTGGAGGGGGGGGGTACCGTTGGACCTCTGGAAACTATCTCACCTGGCAAAGATATTGCACCTCACAAATTATATATCGTTGTATAGCTTTTAGAGGCCAGAATTCAAATCTAACTTAAACTTGGCTTTAGCCCATTCATACAAGAGTTATACTGGAGAGTGATCTACTGCAAGTTACTCAAGTTAGAAAAACTGATCTTGCTCAATTATCGTCAACATCGTAGCTTCAATTTTACTGCCCTAGGAATTTCTCCTGACATCAATTATACTAGTCTTATCACTGTGCTACATTGTGTATGTTTATTCTGCTTCAAGCGGACACAATTGAGCAACAAACTTTTTTATTGTATTCCATAGATACCGACTTACGGATTTATTTGCAACAATAATTCCTAATCATCGTGGAGTCTCTTATTAATATTATCCACATTTGTAAGTTCCAAGTGAAACTTCATTCAGCACCTTCCAAGCCTCGAGTATCTGGCATTGTCCATTGCAATTTTCGGTCGAAATCACATTGACAATATTACAGGTTCCACCCACCTAAACATGCATTTTCTCACCAAAAATGGTGTATGAAAATGAAATGTTATTTATATAAATTGAAAACAAAGTACTTATAAATATTTCACTAATTATATTTCATACAAATCCAATTTAGAAAGTTTGACCATTTAAACTGGATAATTTTATTTTCACCATTTTTTTCACCATTTTTCAATTCCCCCCCCCCCCCGTTCGACGCCGGCACTTTTTGGACACCCTTCACTTTTGAAAATCAAAATCGGCTGGGACACCCTTCACTTTGGAGGGACCCCGATCAACCCATCGCACCTATGGCTGCAACTGCAGTTGCAGCTGCAACAGGAGTTGCAACTACAATCAACTGCAAATGCAGCTTACGCTGACGTGGATTTCGTCCGAAGGAGGCGGAGTGAAAGAAAAACCAGGCGGGTTTTCTCCGCTCAGAAGCAACACTGGGAGATCGGACCAACGCAGTTGGTGTTCTTCTGGGCCCTGAATGTACACGGTATAGAGAAGTGGGTAACTTAGATTTTGGGTGTACGCTGCCTTTAAATGCACCGTCAATCAGATTTTCGACTTCCACGTTTTTGTCGTTTCAGGGCATTCTCATATCCCTGATTCCGAATATGAAGTCGAGAATGCGCGAAAACCCCGACAATCCCCGCTCCGAAGTACTCACAGGCCGGCTTTCCAGAACGGTGATTGGATGGACGCGCACAAATGGGCGGGCATGGATGGGGGTCCTCGTGCATCTTCGCTATTCCGAAGCGATTTCCTCGCTTCCGAAGCGGCATTTTGCGCCGCGACTTGGGCATTGGATTGGCGCAGAATGTCGCTTCGGAGCGAAGGGGCATGAGGATTCCGAGTCGGCACCGCTCCCTCCGGTAATGCCCGCCCGTGCCCACCAATCACGGGGACTGTCGGGGTTTTTACCGATTCTCGAATTCGCATTCGGAATCAGGGACATGAGAAGGCCCCGGAACGACCAAAACATGGAAGTCAGAATCAGGGTGGCGGTGTCGCTGAGCGCGGTCTTCTGAAGATGGTCCAACATCAACATCTTGTCGGACTTTGCAGTACGGTTATGAGAAGAATGCCCGTCTTCGTGACCCAGCGGAATACGTTGCGAAAGGAAGCATCGACGGTCACATCATGAGAAGAACAGACGACAGATGGACACTAGGAACATCAGAGTGGATTTCTCGTGAAGCAAAACGTTTCCGAGGAAGACCATCAACGAGATGGGCAAACGTGTTCGTGGGACGGATAGAGAAATCAGCTGGGTACGATTTTCGCACCTGGGACTTATGAAAGCATCCACCGACGTCAATCAAGAAGATCGTGGATCTGAAGCGAGGGACAGGGAAAAATCGAAACATTTGTGCTGGTGCCACACTTCTCTGAAGTCGGGCCATCTAAGCGACTAAGTAAAGGCTTCTGCATGACGAAGGCGCAGAAGCCGTACTAGTTGAGCGGGCGCGGACGCCGCGCGTATCCTCAACGTTGTAAATTCTGCGCTCATGCGCTCTACGGCAAATTAAGCCGCGTTCGCGCCCAAAAATACTGCACCTTCATCATGCAGCAGCCTCCCTATACGATAGCTTTCAGATGATGGGACTTCCTCAGCTGAGCAGTAACATGATGTTCCTTTTTGAGTGTTTGATATGTTGTAACGTTTGGATGGGAACACAGAGCGCAGTCAAATTCGTCATCACGATTTCATGAATTCCCTACAGATTGACTTTTCTTTCCAGAAGCGTTTTCTCCCATACCCTCAAATAAAGAAAGTTCGACGATTCTTGTTATGCCACTGCGGTCCCGACAGCATTTATATATAGTCAATGGTAGTGTACGCTCTATGGCCCTTTTTTTCGCAGCAAAAGTCGCAATTAACTAGGCAGCATTCGCACAGCACGAGATTTGTTTCCATGCAAAACTGTTATCACCGCAATCAATGTATTAACAGTGAAATCTCCACCACTAACGTATACATCGCCATGGCTATGACAACTACTTGATTGCAAGTCCTCGGCAAACACAACTTTACTGCAATACGAGTGCTGCTGAATTCGGATAGATAGACCAAGTTCAGAACGAAAAAATATGGAAGACAATTAAGCGATTAACTCTGCAAGTCCATTTCCTCTAGTTGAACATTTATTTATTCCTGGATGCCATTCAAAGCAATAAATGGAGAGTTGATATAGAATGTGATTATCGGATTTATACGTACACACTTAAACTCACTCAACAAACCACCCAGGTAGATCCGAACTATATGGGAAACACACCAGCAATACTAGTAGTGCAAACAAAGAAAGATATACAATGTACAGGTGGAAGCCGTTGTGAAAGGTTGGAGAAAGTTATGTACAAACAAGTCACATTGGCATCAACGAACGAAAACCAGACAATCGGATGATTTCAATCAAAAATAGACAAGAGATGGATAAATGGGCTTCGAAGTGCTCTGGACTAGCCAAATAACATCACGGTGGTCAGATACAAATAAGAATAGAAGTCTTTAGAAAGTGTCAAATAAAATATTTGCAAGCATTACAGCGCTCATTGCAGCAGATGCAATCAGTTTGATCATAGTTAATTACTAATCATCAATATTTATTCTAGTTTTGTAAACCTGGAGGCAGACAATTACCTATGATCAGACAACCACATCTGCACTGCTCAACCAGATGAATGCCACAAATGAGCCTTGCCCACCGGCGAAATATAGAACTTTAGGGAAAGACATGAGAACGTTGACCAATAAGTTTGGTACGTTGTGAAAATCACAATAGGAAGGGAATTGAAAAGGATGTGTGAAAAACCAAAAGCTTGTCTTTCCGCCTATAAGAAAGAATGGGCATGATTTCCCACCCAAACATCCATAACAAACAGAGAAAGGTTAGACCTGTAAAAGCAGACCACAATGTACCAAAAGGAAAGGAAGACCGAAATAATAAGCAGAGCGAAGGCGATAGTGCTACACAGCTTCCCATATAGATGGTGCAAAGAAAATAGTGAAAATAAGAAAAATCAGGTTCTCAAGGGTACACAAAACAGAGAGGGAATCATCGATTGTTCAGAGACCCGATTTCACATCATATAAAAAGAAAAATTGTCATAAAAAACGAAATTACGCTAATGCTTGCGGGATGCGAACGGAGAAATGGAATTGAAAGCAAATTTGTTCATAAGCTACGCTTATTGTACGCTGTGTAAAGCGAGTTTTGAGCAAGCTCGCGACCAGAATTGTAAAACTACAGGTCACTGGCTGGAATGAAGGAGAGACAGATTGTTTGACAGCTATGATGACCACTGTGCATATGAAATGATAGAATACAAAATCTTCACTTTTCCTACGGAAATATCCTATGAGGTATCCATTGTCTCCGTGCTTTCCATCATCTCGTCATTTGCTTGTTCCCTTTCAGCGTGAGTCCGCCTGGAAATAAGACTTTTAATGTAAAAAAATGCAAGTCAGAGGAAAAAAGATGAATGCTGGATGTATTTTGTGTGCCCAAGGTTCCCATGTGAACCAGCGTGCGTACGTGGTGCGACGCTGCCTTTCGCTCTTTTTGACAGGTTTCTTCTGAGATTTAAACGGAACTGCACGAGGTTAACACGTTCAAAAAAGCGAAAGGCAGCGAGATGATGTGGTACCTGTGGGAATCTTGCTGGGGAACAAACGATATATCTTGGCAAAATACTGTTTCTGATTGTGATAGATTGAATCAAGTAGCAAAACGAGTATGTTTGTAGTTTAGGTGCGAAGATAAAAGCATGCAAACAAATTTATACTCACCAGCTCTCAATATTATCAAGGACCATTTTGGCTAAATAGCGCACAGGTTCGGTAGTTCTTTGATCAGTTACGAGCTGTTCCAGTAGTGGGATTCCTCCTTCGTCAGTAACATAAGCGCAGTACCTGGAAAATACAGAACTGCTGGAACTGAGCATATTTTAACACATGATAACAAAAACAAAAACAATGAGGATGAATATGAACTGAAATGAGATCAGCTTACTTGGCTCCATCTGTGGTTGTCAGATTAGCCAATGCCCATACGGCCCAATGCTGACTAGCGTAGGCGTGCCATAAAGGCAAAAGGCGAAGAATCGGACGGAAAGATCGGTAGTTGATGAAGCGCTTGGTTTCCAGTCTCCACGACTCAGTGGCCTACAACAGTCCATTGCATTTTGAAAGCAAACCTTATTCAGATATTTACCTTGACAATGCTAGCCATGACTTGCTCTCTTCGAACTGTCAAACAGCTCCACGCCTCTTCGCCATCGCTGACCATGTGTGCGAGAACCCCAGCGCTGTTGTAGCTGATTTCTATGGAATCCTCCACAAGATCCAGAAGAGCTCTTAAAATGCAGAATTAAACAAACGGCGAGAATGAGAGTGCTATAAACATACGAGAAAATTTTGACGTAGTCATCATTCATTAGCTGAGAACGCAGACCATCAACTTCAGCAATATTTCCAATCAAGCCCATCATGTTGCGAACGAGCTCCCTGAAAATCCTAGTATAGTTTACAACGCTTCAAAAAAAAAACAGGACTAGGTGAAAAGTCCCTGCTGAGGAACAACAATGACGGTTATGAAGAAAGAAGATTCGAAACTGACCTTTCATTTCGGAATGCGTCAAAGCACATATGGAACAGATGTAGACCATCAGCCCTCAAGAAACGTTCACAGTTTACTGGTGTTTCGTCTGAAATATGACGAACATAAATTGTTGGGATGACTCAAACACAGATGTTCGTACCAGAAACGTGATTACAAAGTGATGAACATACCAGTGATGTTCCAGAGGAAACTCCATCCAACCTCCATGACGTCATCGCAAACATTTGTCGTGAGCTTTCGTCGAATTTGATCAAGAATCATCTGAATATTAGCTTTAGGTAATTACCAGAAATCATACACAGAATATTCGAGAAAAAACCGCTAGAAATTCAAGACATACCTCGATAGCTCCAAAGCTGCCTACTTGAACTTTCTGATCACCTTCGACATGGCATGCCATAGAGTTTAGAAGGAATACCACGATACGTTGGGTCAGATTATCAGCATTATGATGTTGCAAGACCGTCACCAGCAAGATAGCCAGTCGGCTTAAAAATACCAATTGATCTCTTACACCGAGGTCATAACAATAACAGCGGAAAGAAAAACTCAAGAGAACAGCTTCGATATAAAAAACTGACCTATAATCAAATAAGATCTCTTGGGGAATTTCAAACTGGCACAATGACAAACAGCAGTTCCTGACCATGACTTGTTCCTCCATGTGTGTCTCCATTCCTATGAAATGTAGTCAGATATTGTGAGGCTTTTACACATAGCAATAATAACTTACCGCTGAGAAGCGCGCTAACAACCCTTTTCTTGGTGTCACGATTCATAGCAACCTTTCTGATAATGTAGAACAAACTAGCAGAGCCCGCGATTTGGAGAGTACTGTCTTCAAGATGATTCTGCATGGCATTCAAGACCAGATGGAGCGCTTCAGTGTGACGAACCTTAAAAAAAGAAAATATCGTCGCAGATGACTGAGGAAAACGCGGTCAGCAGATAAAAAAGAACAACAAACAACAGAACAAGTACAGGATCTGCTCACCAACGGATTGCTATTTCCAAATCGATAAAGTTGATAACTTTCGTTCAGAACAGATTGCAGGAGACCAGCTCGATCTTTGTACATTTGGAGAGCCATAATTACCTGGAAGAGCAAACTACAATTCGATGCTAAAGAAGAACTATATGCATGAACATACCTGATCCTCATTAGCATCGCCAGATATGTGCTTTGCAGGAATTTCACCGAAATGGCTAGCGTTCTCGCAATTGAATAGTCCAATGAAGTCCAGTGGCTTGCTGAGGAATCGCAATCCAACTATGTCCGAACGTACATTGCCTTGGCTGGAAAGATAATAATCGACACAATCTCAGTAAAAAAAATCAGGATGCTCAACGCACTGCATATCAGGCTTAACGGGCCAATCCTTGGGAGTCGGTTGTGCGGCTAGATTGGTCGATGAGATATCCAGACAGGTCAGCTCTTTCAGGTTGGTAACTATTTTGTGCAATGCAGTAACTGGTCTTGGGTAAAGTCCTGTATCCCGCGATGATTGAGACAAGTCAAGAAACCTACAAAGCGCAACCTTTTATTCGCAATTCACTACAATTTGTCTAGAACACTATACTCAGCAACTCAGTTCAAAAAGCAAGTGCTAAATACCTCAATTCCGACATGGTTATGATGCTATCAATGGCCCGATACAAGTCAGGCACGTCGAACAGTATAAGCGTAGTCAGGTGAAGCGGATGAATGCATCTGAGATCTTCCAACTGAAAGTGTAGAGGGTGTGAAATAGTGTGCAAGCAATCCCCTTCATATTCTTGACACTTACTCTATTCCAATACGAGAGATCAAGCGTTGTCAAATCCTTCAATGGGTCAAACACACGGCGTAGCAGATCATTTGGAGATGTCTCCTCGTCTTCCGGGAATTTCTTCACCTAAATCACCGTTCTCAGCACCAATTCAAAGAAAGCAAGTAAGATAAATAGATGTGAATTGACCAAAGCATGCTATACCTTGGGTAGGGCAAGCGTAGTTACTCCCGGACATCGCGATGTAAATACTGGCGGCTCTCGCTCCTCTTCCTCCTCCAAAGCTTTTTCCTCAGCGTCAGTCGACATTCCATTAGGTCCACTAGTCGAGCATCTGAAGAACGTGCATCTGACAAGGAGCAAAATCAAAGTGGCCACGACATTAGAACTACTGTAACACTAACCCTTCAAAAACTGGCTGCTGTTGATTCGAATGTGATGGCAATGATGGTCCTCCTCTGTTTTCACGCAATCCTAGCATTCCCTCCCCTTCCAAGTCTTCCTCACCCAAGACGGGTACGTTACGAGTGTCCATGCTTGCAACACCGACCTTCCTGAAAATAGGACTTTCACCATATAATCCACGTTACGTTAACAGACTGAAGAGGAAATTGTACGCTACAAATGAAGCATGTAAATAAGGACCTGCGTGGAGGAGGACGGCTCAGTAGTTCCATAGATGTCATTTTGAGAGATCGCAGGTTGGGAAATGCTACATTTCGTTGGTCCAAAAGCGCGTTTGTTTCATCGGAAATGCCCTGGAAATTGCTAACATAAGCAAAAGGGAACAAACTGCTATTGAACAGAATGTGGACAAACCTTCACATTAGTCAGGTCTAACTGCGTTATGCCACTTTGGTGAGCTTCTAGTAGATCAGCTAGTAGAGAATCCGTCAAATCTGCTCCAGTCAGATCAAGGTGCGACAATGGTAGTCTAGATGAGTCGCACCATGCTCGCAATGCCTCTGCCGCAACAGGCTCTTTCTAAATGTTGAAATGCACAATTAAAGGGCAATGATATTCGCAGAAAAAAAAGAAATTCAATAGTTTCTGAGCGGCTCAAAAAGCACTGCAGTTATATCAAACAAAATATGCTTACTGATCGTTGCCATTCTTCCTTTTTCTTGTTGAACAATGAATGGCTAACAGGCAAAGGCAAATGCATTTTCAGCACAACATCCTGCAAGGAAATTTTTTTCGAAAATCATTTTCTGTATGCATAACTGTACATGCACTATATTCACCTGGAGTTGAGTCTTCTGGCACAGGACGCCGGCCGACAAGTCTCGCAACGACGGCGCCGACAACGCGACGTCTTCACCCGCTGTCATACGCCTGAAATAGACGTGATCACTACAACGAGTGTTTGCTAAAACGCGAACACATGCGTCTAAAAACAAGTTCAAGGAGATTTGCGATCTTAGATTTGGAGCTTTACCGCTAACTACTCTAAAACCAGATTGATTCAGAAAAAGATAACAGCAACAGCACTGTCAAGCAATCTTCTCTTGATATACGTAAAAGTGCGGTTGTGCTGCAGAAATGATCTGTGGTAGCATAAATAAAAAAAGGCGATTACGAGACTACTCGTTCTGGATTTATCACTTCCACACTTCCTTTCTCTTCTCAAATCAAACAGGAATAACTCAGAAATGAATCAATATTGCAACTAGGTTGATGTGACAAAAATATTCCAGTTGCATCGCTTGTAAGGTTTCAGGCGCTTTTCAATGCGGGTTTTTTCTCTTCCAGCCAACAGTGGTTCCAAGCAAATGTTGAAACTTGAGGATATGCAAAACTCCATTCAACTGCGAACTTACCCGTTAGGAGGTATATATGAACAAAAATAGATTCAACAAATAACTATTCTACGGAACAGGCACGTCGAAATGACACCAGCTGCTATTCTTTAAAAAACTACATCGAGCTGGTTCAATTTGATCTTTTAGCACAGTAATTAATGTCACAGAGTCGTCATAGCGCAAGGAGCTTTATGTGCTCAGAAGGGGCTTCTATGACAGTTGTGCGCAGCTGTGCTTTCATGTAGAGCAGATTCTTTGAGTGCTCACGTCTGCTAACAGGCGATGTACTTCTCAGATCATCTCGTCTCACATTGTCGACTGCCGACTGATGGAAGATGAGGGCAAGAGAAACAAAACTGAGGAGAGTTCATAGCATACAGAACATATGCTATGTGCACTACGATGATTAGACTACAACTAGGCTAGGTGTGTGAGATCTAAAGTACGAGACACTTGGTTGTCAAACGAAAAACCTCGTGTAAAATGTTTACTGGCTTTGGCTCGTGATTCGCATTTCGCACTCTTGAAAATGACTTTAGAGCGAAGTGAGAAAAAACTTCACACTTCAAAAAAAAATGCAGAAAACCGCTTCCATCAAATGCCTGACAGAGATGTCGTCGATTTACACACAACAAAGCAAAGCAGCACTAATTGAACTTACGTTTCATCGATAAAGTGGAAGAATGGGGAAACCTCGAGCAACATTTCCCCTCAGTGCTTAATTTCACAAATGCTATCTATAGTCCAGTTGTAGCTGCTGATGTGCGTAATTTGCACAACAGTGAATATACCCGAGGTGGCCTGAACGCTTGCTTGTTTAGAAGTAACCTACAATGAAAAACAAACTATTAAGACTTCTCAAAGCGCTTGACCTAAAATAAAACCTGAACTGATAATTGCAAAAAAAACATTTGTAAAAAAACACAGCTGAAAAATGTGGGTCCGCTCCTTCAACCGGGCCTGCATGATGCATGATGGACACATTAGCAGCTAGACTGAGTCAACTATCCAGCCGTATAAAACGCAAATTTCCGCTGGGAATAATCAAGGGGTAAACGAGGGCTGCAATTGTGCGCAGAAGAAAAAAGACTACGGAAGATCCTTATGAAAGACTCCGACGAGAAAATGTAAAAATGTGAATTCCATTCATTTTCACAAACTGACCGAGTACCTCGATGTGATCATCATCCAAAGATGACACTGTTGAAGCGTGCACGAAAAACGAAGTGTACGTTGTTTCCAACGAGAACATACGACTCGATGACTGAGGCTGCCGACACAAAAATGACTTTCGGTGGATAATCACCACAGATCAGCTGATCTGATATGACCGCGTGAGACAACCGCTCACACTTGTGCAAGGAAAAACAGAGGGAACCAGAAAACTACATCTGCAGGGCCAGCAGACATGCAACATCTGTGCACCAGCTATTCTTGTGCATCTATGTAAACGTCGGCCACAACGTGCGGAGTTGAAAAACAAAGGTCTCAGCCTCCGTAGACAAACACTGCGATCCATCTCGTTAGGTGGTGGAACGCGCCAACAATAACTGGATGAATAGGGGATTTGGACAACGGTCACTTTTAGCCGTTGCAGGAGATTAAAATAAATAATAGATCAAGAACAGCTGATGAGTAAAGCGTTCTCACGCAAGGCATAGTAATTAAACTGGGCAGTGAAGTGTTTTTTTTTGTTGAGAAAATTATTTCACGCCGAGACACACATGGAGCGAACAAGTTCTAGCAAACATCTGCTGCAAGCACAACTTTTTTGTACGTATATGACCTTGACTAGCTTCGAAAGCAACGCTTCCGCTCTTGAACGAAACAAGTCCAACAGAACCGAGAATTGAGATGAATGAATGACTTCTTTAATAACCACCAAGAGGCACAGTGAAACTGATTACTTCGAAGATTACAGCTGCCATTTTCTCAAGGTTAACACCTATGACTACATTTCGATGCTACAAAGAAGTTATGCAGAGATCGATTACTGCAGCAATGAGAGATATTCACATGTGGAGGCGCAAGAAACACGGAGTTTACTGCATCTCGTACATCGAAGACAGCGACAGAGAAATGCGAGAGGGAGACGCAGAAGATTTAGTGATAATAACATAATAAAAAGGGTTGTTAAGCCCTTTCAGCAAACGCCTACAGCTCACTTGTTCCGCATATTTGTCCTACTCCCTCTCGACTTTCTATCTCTTTCTCCCCAATCAATGTGATAGAAATTCGTCACAGTCGATAGCGTGATTCACGCACACGCACACTCGCTCGAAACGTGTGGGACATTTATGGCCTACATTCCACAGAACAAGATAACAGAGAAGCTTTCAAAAATTAGACGGCCGAAAAAAATCCAAAAAATAACCTCTTCAGCGTAAACGCATGCTAACAAAAAAATTGTTGCGAATGAAAAGCCGTAACGCCCACAAATTAGAAAAATTATCAGCTAGTTGGCGCCAGTTTCAGACCTCCAGCACAACCCAGCCCACCCAACGAACTATAACTCAATAGCATTGACATCAACTTCACACCAACAGGTGCTCTCCCAAATTTTATATTGAAAAAAAAAACTCTTCCTTTACTAAAAAGTCTTCTATCACCGCAACTGCTTATATCTCAATTTTCTAAACAAAGCTATCAAGGCTAGAATGAAGTATGAATCCTAGCAGTGAGGAAACGGCTCTAATGTGAATTGCGATATTCATGAAAGAGGTAGGAGGAGTAATGTGTAACAATAGACGGCCCTCACACCGGAATGTAATTTTTGATTTGGAAATTGTTATATTTTTAGGACTCCCTCAAAAACAATAAAACAAATTAAATTTGCTCTTAGTATTAATAAATTAAAATTTTTTTCACTAATTAAAACTACACCATAAATAAAAATTATAATGTGTTTACGCACATCCGTGCCACTCGTCTCCCATATGATTAGCCTCCGAAAAGTACCAATAACGAAAGTGCAAGTTCAATCGCGCAAAGAAGAGTCACGAGATCGATCATTCACCGAACTTATTTTTGACTCAAATGGTCAACAACGCTAGGCTTTACTACCTATAACCGAAAAGAGCGAAATGTAGGTAAATTAGGATTTTGGCACAGCACAATGAATTCACCAATTCGAGGTGAAATCGCTCTCAAAACAATTCATGTGCGGGAAATTTTCCACACACTTGATTAATCACCAACAGCAATCACGTTCAAAATGCAAGTGGTTCTCATTATATTTTTGAATGAGCCATATTCCGGAATTTTTGCATACAAAGCTGTGACGAATGTGGTCGCACCAGTTAGGTGGTAGATTAGCTAGCACGCAACAACGTGTATTTAAGTGGCTTTTCGAGATTCCTACCAACAATTCACGAAAGCAGCCACTTACGCAAAGTCTTGATTGTGTGCTGGGCTTCAGCACATTCATAGAAATGAAATTCATACCCAAAAAAATGAGGCAAACGCCCATTTATATCGCAATTGCCATATCTACGTCATGTAGTTGCTAGCGTCAATGTAGAATAGTATGACGCAATAGAACCCATTGACATATAAAAAAGAAACACCCATTTTTATTGCAGTTGTTGGGAAAGGACGCAATGATTAAAAATAGATATGACAAAAGGAGCGCACATTGATGAAGCCGATCGACGACCCGGTTCAGATGCGAAAAAGATGATGAACAATCAACAAAAGATGCCCCGTCCAACTGGAGACAAAAGGAGATGAATGATTGAATAATAAACCCGCAATAGTAATATAAAAAAATAAAACTGCAGGCTGCCTATTAATGACCATCACCTTTGAGTCTGCTCTTTAGTGATAATCAAAACGACTAATATATGGCTGGAAAAGCCCAAAATAGATGATGGCCTAGCTAGTTATAGGACCGAGAGAGATGCTAGCAAATATAGCCTGATCCTTGAGTACGCAACCAAACGGATTTCGAGACAAAAACAATAATTAGAGCGCGCGATTTGCGCCTACGCGCTTCAGTTTTCTGTTCTCTTTTTCGAGCGCAGCAGATGCATTCGCTCGCACACAATGCATTTATTAGCCTTGAATATCATAATGCTGAGCTAGAAAGGATACCCTTGTTCACTGAATCTTCACAGCCAAGTTATTCTGCTAGATTACCTTCACATCACTGGAATGATGAAAAAGGGGTACTCAAAAAATGCTAATCTGAGCTCCGGTTGACTTTGCACTGTGACGTATGTGAAAAGATAAGGATGTTTAGGAGACGATGTCCGAAAGAAGTAAAAGCGGAATGTATAAAGAATGGCCATAAACAGTCTCCTTATAATGTCTCAAATGCATGTGATAAAATTTTTTGCGCATGAGTACACCATAGAACTACTGTTCAATCAAACGCGATTAAAAGCACCACAACAGGCCTTTGATGTGCCTGGTAATTACATCAGATGAGTTCTATACAAAAAAAATTAGAAGTCATTTTTGTGCACAAAAAGTCTTTTTCGGTAAATAACCTGTCCTTGACTGAATTACGAAATCTGATCTTAGCTGAATTCTTACATTAGATTCATAGTAAGTATACATATGGAATGCTGTAATATCAGTGTGAACATAGCAAGTAAAAAAACGCGTTTCACAATATTTTTGCTCAGCAGTAACTACTACTTGGTTGCGACGATAACAACGCAGGACTCTGAGGTACCCATTTCATTTTGAATAACTGTCGTAATCAGTCATTTGTCAGCATGAGGCAGCAACATGCGTTGACTAGCAGACCCATTCGAGTAGGGAAAGCATTAGAACGAGGTGGATGGACGAACAAAGGCGTAATCGGGACTCACGTGACGGCGCGGGATCGAAAGAGAATGCGGGCTGTGATGGCTGACAGAAAATATCGACCGATTTTGATCGATATATAGATTGACTTGTAAGCAAAACAGGTTTTTGCTATGTCTAAAACATAACCGCTTCTACGAGCTGAAAACTGATACAATGTTATAACTGACAAAATTGTTCCACTTACAAAGCATAACATTCTCACACACATCTCAATCAAAATTGCTCGAAGAGTGTTTTCAACTGATACAAACTTGTTTTGTTTACATTTCAATCTATAAATTGATCGAAATCGATCGTTATTGTCAGCCATGGCATCCTCGCATTTTTTGTGTAGATCACGCGACATGAAAGTCAGAGCTCTAGCTCACAAAACCTTCACAAAATGCTAGTTGAAATCCCCAGAAAAAAATCGATGCAAAGAAATTCGATATGGACACAGCAAGGTCACTCGCTGGCAGATTTTGTTGCCTTCGAGTTCAGGGTCCCCAAGAAGTACTTTGTGCGTGACATTTCTGCCATGCTCTCAGTGCACTTCGTCATTGTGAAGACTTGAAAACATCTGAGAATTCTGGGCTCCGATGTCGCTGCTCATAATACACTACGGAGAGCAGATAAGTGCAACTGGCAAAGCAGTTCCGACAGTGCGAGCAGAGGTCACACACCGGAGAACATGTGATTATAGCAATTTGGATTTGCATTAGAGGGAACAAAAGTGCAGCATCGCACGAGAATAAAAACTTCTCGAAAGGTAGAACAGAGAAAATTCGTGAAAATATCTTTATAGCAACTATCTGTCATGGCGCGATAATAAGGTGGCTGGAAAATTGCTAAAATACGCAAAAGTAAAAATCTACTACTCTTTTTGACGAAAAAAATCTCGCTAACTTTATTTAACCTGATAATTCCAAATCTGATTTCGCTGGTTTACCTAAGGAAGTTTATACGGCAAGCGAACGCAAAATGATTTGGTACGCTAGCGTCCTTTTCTCGGCTTACGGTGGATATACAGTAGAAGCTTGAAAAGTCCATTTGCTCAAAAGTCAGCTAGGGAGGGTTACAAGCATGCTGATTACGATTATGGTGTTAACTGTGCATGAAGGACCTTTTGTGTGACTAAAGTGGGTGATGCAGCATGTACACAAACATCACTTCGCAAAAAAACCTT